ATTTGAGAAAATAAAAGCGGAAAAGAATTAAATGAAAGTAAGAAATTAAACCACAAATAGTAGTACGAAATTAAACCTTTAAAATGAAACAATATCAAACTATAAACTTAACAATGAAACTAAAAATATCATTTTAAATATGCAGTTTACAAAAAATAAAAATAAAAAATCTCATCTATATAATTAAAAAAAAAAAAAAAGAGGCTTATATGCCTTAGATGAGTTCCAATAAAACTAAAGTTTTCAATATCATATGTTAGATGCCTATGATCCCATAACAAATTTTAAATAGTTAAAACATACATATCAAAATAAAATGAAAAATTAGCAATCTAACAAATAAAATAACATAACAAAGATCAGATAAAAAAAAATAAGTGAGTAGAAAAGATTTTGAAAATTACAAGCACCAAATGATATACATAGAAGTGATAAATTATCGACCAAAATTCTACCAAATGGAAAACAAATTCTAATCATATAGCTCTTTTCAATTTTTACTTTCACAAATAACTAGTTTTAATTCATTTAAATTCACCCAAGAAACGTAATAAGAATTGAGGGTTGGTGAGTTTAAAAAGGGCAAAAGCCTTTCTTAAACCCTTAAACTTATCCCAAAATAGCATTTCAACCCCTAAATTAAAAACAAAATAAACAAGCCCTTCAACTCCACTAACAATGCAAATAAACCATTCACACAAACAGGTTAAATAGTATTTTATGTTTAATATCACTTGGAAAGCATGAACACCCATGAATGAGAAGGGCTTACTTGCATAATTAGTAGAGTTTGAGGGCTTATCTATTTTATTTTTAGTTTAGGATCTTAAATGCTATTTTGGGATAAATTTAAGGGTTTAAGAAGGGTTTTTGCCTTTAAAAAGGAATGGAATAAATGCAATTTTAGTTTTTTCCCTCTTGATTAAAGAGAGTATTTAATTAAGAGTAAGTGTGTAAGATTAAATGTGCCTTTTCAACTTTCTCTTTGAAAGTAAATAAATTTAAAATGCAAAAGAAAACTGAGATATAGTAAATAAAGAAGTGAAAAGATTACAACTAATAGTAATCTACAAATGTACGATGGAAAACAAAACATCACACTTTTTAAATACAATATACAATATAATAAAGGTAAAATAGAGGATAAAAGGGTAGGTTAATGCATTTAACACAAATTAATAGGAAAAATAGTAAAAGAAAATATTTGTTTATATTTAGATCTCAATTAATGCATGGTAGCATTTTATATAATATAGATAGAAGATAGATAGATTTAGAATAAATAGATTTAGAATAAATAGATATAGATGTAGATATAGATATAGATAGATATAGAAGATAAATTTAGAATATATAGATAGAGATGTAGATGTAGATATAGATAGTTATAGAAGATAAATTTCAAATATATAGATATAGATGTAGATGTAGATGTAGATATAAATAGATATAGATATAGATATAGATTAATGTCAAAGAGATGTACTAACTTAGAAAAACCCTTAAAGTTTAGGGATCTTTTTTTGTTATTTTACAGGTTAGAATTAACGAAGTTAGCATGATTAACAAACTTAACAGTTTCTACCCTCCGAGACAAAAATTACTTAGTGACTTAACTGGGCATGAACGGGTTAGACTTCATAAACGAAGTGACCCTTAACCTTGACTCAGGTTTAGAGGCAAGCAAACCCCATTCTCAATGGATGGGTAGCAAAAACAAACTTAACAGTTTCCATCTAATTAAGGTATTCTTTGAGAATTAGGTCAACTTTAGAATCTTGGGTGCGGTAAAACTTTAGGACCTTAATTGTAAATTTGATGTAAGTTTGGGTCCTTATCCAAAACTTTAGCCAAATTTTAATGGGTCCCAACATTTTATAAATTACCTGCCTAAGTTAAAAAAATATTTTTTAAAAGTTTTCACATCATTTTTTGAAGATAATTTAGTGGGTCCCATTTAATTTTACCTGCCTTCACGTGAACCACCATTTTAATTGGGAAGGCAAAAAAAAAAAAATTTTTTTTTCCACATCATTTTTTCTATAAAATATCAAAATTTTAAAGATTTTGTTTTGGTTTAGTTATTTAGTTAATAGTTGTACCTGTTAACTAAATAATTAATAGATCATTTGACATTAGTTCGAAATTAGCCTATAAATTAATATTTCTCAACACTTTAAGTAGTTATTTAAAGAAAAAAAGATATAAAATGATAAAAACAGTCTAACCATCAAAGAAAACAACACCACATCTATTTTAAAATGGAAGGATAAAAAGTAGCTGAAAAGCAAAATAAAGCAACCTTAAAAGTTAAATCTATTGATAAACAAATATTGTTTTTTAGATTAAATTTAAAATTTAAATTTTGAGATCAACATTTAAAAAAATTAATTTCTATAAATGCACTAGGTTAAAGTCAATATCAAAGATCTACCTTTAAGATCACTTAAAAACAAATTAGTTTTAAAATGTACAAAAATTAATCTAAAAATACTTTAATAGTAAATACAAAAATAGAAAGAATAAAATAAAGTTTTAGGATCATTTTGATTTCGAGGCCAAAAAACCTGAGGGACCAAAATGAGTTAACTTTTTCTCTTGATGTAGCAAACTGAATGAACTCGACAAGTTAAGAGACCATATTGTGCATTAGTAAACCAAACCTCATAAATAATCTATCCTCTAGATTCTCGGAATTTGTTGGACAGCACAACTCTCAGGCCCACACTCACCCACTTTGCAGCCTCCCATGGCCTCACAGCCACTTATTAAAATTTGAAAAGATAATGAGTCAATTATTATTATTTTTTTTAATTGTTCGCTCCGACCCAGTAGGATTTTCTGTTAGGCTAGGGTGATTCATGTTTTTGTGGTTTATGTGTTTGAATTATATATATTTTTTATTTTTTAATTAATATATAAGTAATTATATTCCATTAAAAAAAATTTAAGGTATATGTAAATATGTAAATAATTAATTGTAATTTTTTTTTTTTAAGGAGGGAGAGGATAAAGAGAAGGTATTTGTGCAGTTTGAAACTGCAATTTATGGTAATGTCATTAATTTATAATCAATGTTATTGGACCGGAACATGCGAATTTAATGAGTCAATTATCACCACTGACTGGCTTGATGCCAGTGGGCCGGGTGCTAATGAGTCAATTATCTTGGTGGGTCCAACCGCTGAAATTTTAATTTGTGTCCTTAGTTTATTATTATATATTAAATATATAGGATATATTATTATTAAATACATATAAGGATTTTTTTATTTGTGTCATTAGTTTATTTTTTATTATAAATATATATAAAAATATAAAAATTGATATTAATTT